GTTCAGCACACCGGTGTGTTGGAGAGTAAACCCACAACATTTACCATTCGAGTACTGTGAAGTTTTGCCGGTAATTACAACCAGCATCATCAGGTGACAGCTGGAGTTGTGGAGAAATCCTCCTCCTGTTTCGATCTTAGGTACTACAATACTTGTTTAATTATGGATGACAAAATATTAAAATGTGTCTCTGTAATACTGTGCATGTGCAGCGTGCACTGAAGTTTGTAGACCCCTTATTGGATTGAGGATAAATTATTTCTCATTTTTATTGATATCAATTTATATTTTTCTGCCATACGCTCCACGCGGAAAATCCCGGATGGAGGTGGGTCAAGTGAAAGAGATGATTTTAAGTCTGTCAGACTGTGCCCTCCTCGAACATTGAGGCGAAGAGGCCCTGGCTGGGGTAGTTGGAAGGTCACAGTGGCACATCACTGAATTTAAATGACCGACGACATGAGCAAGCCGAAATGTTCGAGCCCAGACGGCTCGTCACGGACTTTAAACGCCTGGCGTGAGAACACATTCAAACCAGCGCTTGGAATTCACCTCGCATTATCGCGGAGTTGCCGCTTGACACTGCCAAATGGAATTCACGGCGTCCATTTTGTGACATATATTCTGAAAGCCTCCGAAAGTGTGGGATCGGTCAATGCTTATAATTCATGTCCGTCCATATGTGTGCATTCATTTTCATGTCTTTTGCCAAAGTCAGTGTGTCACGACGATTACAAAGTGGTTGCGGTGTTACTTTCAAACAAAAGATCAGGTTGAAATATTCGTGGGCAATTCCTGCTACGTCCACTACTCTTGCACGTGACCGGTAAGTGGTTGTAGTGCCCTCCACTCCGGGTGGCTGCAGTGGCAGCGGCAGCAGCAGCAGGGAGAGGAGAAGGAGGAGTCCAGGTCTCCAGAGGAGCAGAGAGGTCGTCTCGATCTGGCGTAGGCAACGCGAGACGACAGGCCGGCCGGCTGGGCGCTTCCAACCACTACAGTATTGACTATCTCTTCTCAGGGAGACAGCGTTAGCAATGAGGGCACAACAAGTGGAGTTTAAACGATGTGGATGGTGGGAGGCAAATCTTGGTTGTGTGGCTACAAATATCTTGGGAGTTGTTCGCAAAAAACATCTAAACGCGTTTAGGTTTCAGTGTGGGGAGGGACTCATCCCCTTCTGTTTATAGGCCACATTCATATGTCTGGCAGAGACAAAATTATTTGAAGGTCGATTGCTGTTGCCTTTCCACAGAGTGGTACTCATCGACTGCGTGGGGAGAGAGGAAGAACTGAGTTGACACCAATCTGAGATTAGATTTGTGACATTTATGACAGCTTATCTGGTCAGATAGAACATATATTAGATTTATGTGCAGAGAATTACAAGAGTGGTCAGAGCATTATGAAGGTCCAGCGGTGTGTGGCATGTCCTGTTTCGCAGAATATAAAAACAAAACTAATTACGGTACAGTTAGACACAGTAAAAGGAATATTATGAAATGTTTTTGGTGGGGACCAAAATTATGAAGGCAACGTCTGCGTCTTCGTACCAGTAAAGTGCAGGACGAGGGGATCAGGAATTGTATCAGCGCAATCACTGGCACGACTAACATTGCATACAAGAACACGGGGGGAAAATCAGAGTTCCAATTGATAAATCGCGAAGATCAAGATGTACGCTTTTTCGGGGGGAAAATTATGCATTGCAATCACACCGGAGGAGGAAGGTATTCCAGTGAGGTCAGCATTGAATTATCTTGGCATTCAATTACCTTGGCATTAGCTTTGTATTAAGTTATCTTGGCATTCAATTAACTTAGGTTTCAGTCCAATTATTGCGTAGGGTTTTCAATAATTGCATTGCAACAAATTATTTTTTTGAGGATTTAAACGCTACTTTGAAGTGAACACTGAATGGGTGCAAAGACAATTGAAGCCAATTATTTATTTATCTATCCCTTACGGTGCAGAGGCAAGTGAAGTCATTATTTATCTATACCTTACGGTGAATGAGTTTCTCTGTTCCCGAATTTGTTGCCGTGAACTTTAAAATCGTGCACACATTTGTGGATTGACATCGGCACCCAACATCCTGCTTCTGCAAATCGTATCACAAAAGTCCCCAATTTCCAACTTTACAGGATGACAGATGCCTTTGGTAATTCCCCACAGAAATGACCGGTTCGGTTCTGAGAATAGGACCCGTCAAGCACATACGTACGTACGTACGAGCGGGCTCAGTGGTAAGCGCAGTAGCCCCACCAGAATATCTGGGTGACCTCATAAATTAATGAATGGATCAGCCCTGCCAGGAGGTCCTGGCGCCGAACATCCCAGCAATGCCTCGGCCCCCCTCCGTGCCCCCCTTCACCCTCCCACCCATGAAAATTGTTGGGAACATTTGGTCATGCGATGCACCTGCAGCCACTTAGATTCTAAATTCACAAAGGTTGCACTACACAGCCGGATGGTTCATCATCGTCACTGAACCAGATCCAGTGATCTGCAATATGATGCCAGATGCCCGGAACAGCAACCCACAGAAGACTATTGTGCTAATCCTTGTCTGCAGTGGAACGTGGCATATATATAATATCCAGTTCCCTTGCACTTGTTGAATGGGCTTCTTCGTGTACTGTAATCCAAATTGAGAGTGATCGCAAAAAAGGACCAGTCCACTTGATGAAATACTGCAGTTAAATGTCCTAAAATCCATAGCATAGATATACGTACAATATATTCCATGGACAATGAGCCCGAACGAAAATATTAAATTTACTTCAAGCGGCATTATCAGGCTCAGATGCAAGTTGTATAAATCCCGGGAGGATGTGCGCCGACACCATGAAATTAGGATGTCACGAGCTTCTCAAGCGTATACTTTCCGCTTCTCCTTTATAAATGGGCATGTGTGTTTGCCATGTGCAATATTCAGTGAGACGTCGTCTTTAAACGGCACTCGTGCTTTGAGACCACAGCCAGTACAACACGGTCACACGTCACTGGGTTTGAGCCGCCGGTTTTTTGTTCAGCTGCATTACAACGGCAAAGCATGCGGCTCAGACACCACACAAGTTCAAAGGCACACCTGTACACGCCCCAGAAGAAAAATGATCCGGTAATTTGTGGTGTATTGTAACGTGTTGGTGCTAATGACATGGATATATAATTTTGCTACTGTGATGTGAAAATGCCACTTCAAAGATACGTATTATCATTTGTGAGAGCTTTCCTTCAAATGATGATGCTTTAAACAATATGTAGTTACGCTTTTTCTTGCGAGCGTCTGACTCAAACGTAGTAACCTACCTTTTGAGAAGTCTCAAGGACGCGAACATTTAGAAAGTGGATTGTCAAGGGTGGCAGTAATTTACATAAACATGGGATTTTAATGCTCATGTAGCATTTTAGTCTTAGCCAGAAATTAACAGTGAATAGGAAGAGAACAAGAGTTGAACGGACTGAAAACAACTAATAGCCGAAATATTGGCATTCTTGATGCTGGTGTTGTTTGCATGGCAAGAACTTACATTAGCAGAATTAATAAATAGTAATTAATAAATCAGATTCTCCCTTGCAGTGCCTTTCCGATCTTCCAAAGGGAAAGAGCAGATTGTGTTAATATACAGCATGTGCCTACTAGTCATGTCCTGCTGGACAGATATTCGAAAATACTTTGAACATGACAGTTTATGCGAAATACATCGACAAGACCAGGTCACCCGCCCTGCAAATAAAACCACACAGAGAGCATTCGACCGAGTGTGTGTTTGAATTCGTATGAATTTTGTTATCGTGATGGGTAACACATTTATCACGAGGGTGATTTTTTTTTTCCATCGGTGTCTTCAAATAAACAGCCAGATGTGGAAGCAAATGAAGCGATGTTAAGCGAGTCCCATGTGCACAGCTGTCACTGTGATCATTTGACGACTACCATTGCATCCATCTGGCTGGAAACAGAACCTATTCAAAATAACGTCACCTGCGCAATGGCTGGGTTACTCGACGGTAATATTTACACTTTATGAGAATGTCTCGATATGAATTTACGCACATAAAGTGGCCCTGTAAACAGATAACTCAACGCTTATTACCTAAGATTCGCACACTGCGATTATGCGTCTAAAAGGCAGTGGCACACACCGGTCTTAGAGGAGGGAATGCCCTCTTCACTGCATAGGATTGTGTTGTGATTTATTTCGATACTTTAAGAACTTTGAGGCTTGCTACTATTAATTTAGCTTACACAGTATCATTGTTTTAAGCAATGTATATATGTACAGTATGATTGTATTGCAAAAGACACTGATTCAGTTTTTGGAAATTGAACATTTAGAGAATTATGAAAACAACACGATTCGTAAATATGTTAGTGCTTATGTAATTGGAGTATTAATGGGTACCATGTCACAGTAGATATTAAAACGACATACCACCCTTCTTGTATGCAACTGTTGTTACAATGCATACACAGTATACTAAATGGTAAGATTTAGGTAGGCTGTTGTGTTCATAGTTGAAAATATTTATCTTGCTTATATTTTTTATTTTCTCTTTAAATCACCCACAGTAATTAGTATCTCAGTGTGACATGAGGAGCTTAGTCGGAATATTGCCTGAAACCATTATTGACAATATGTTCCCTTCAATCCGAGTGCTAAATAATTAAATATTTACTCGGCACAAGATAACCATTTGAACGAACGTGTGTGTTCTGATATCTGCCTGTCATCCCCTAGCACAGGGCAAATCACATTTTGTATAAATTGTATGTATGTGCGTATGCTGAGCTTCTCTCGCACCATACGTAGCCAACCGTGCTAACCGGAGGTGCGGATTTAAAACACTCGCAGTCGGAAGCACAAAGCACATTTAAGGGAATACGGCGAAAAAGACTCAAATTAAAATACTGCATAAGGCAACTGAAAAGACTGCGGAGACGACAAAGACTCGAGCACAACACGGGACGCAACAACAGACAGTTACAAATCCTGTACCTTTGTAGCCCGTGCAGCAGGGATGGAACAGTATGGATCATCCACTAGATAGGACAACCCCTGCAAGCAACATGCATCAGGGGAACAGAGAACAAAGGGGAAAATAATAAACATAGAGGGGAGAAAAGGGGGAAGAGCAATCGCATTCACAGCATACGCGTGTTAGAGTTAAACAGATATCCGTTCAACAGATATCCGGTCATTCACGTTTGCCGACATGCAGATACACATTTTTGTCGTCTTAGAGGTTCACAACCAGATGCCACCGCACGTGGCAGAGAGGTAAGTTTATAGCGCCGAAGCGAATACATGTTTTGATTAGGCTTCTGCGATGTACGTTCAGTTTCACATCCTTTTGACCTCCTCCCCACTTCGCTCCAGAAATGTCATCTCATTTAAAAATTTTTTGTCAGTGGAGTGGGCGGAGGGCTTTTAAAGATGGGTATTAGAGTGGAAGCGACCTTGAAAGTACAAGCCGAGGCATAATTAGGTTCAGTGAAGGATTTCAATTAGATTGCGTGATAACACGTCGGTTATTACATTTCTCTCGAATGCAGGTGGCACGTCTGAATTATTCAAGGACCACCTAGGAGCAAGTAGCGTGTCCATGTCGGATCTGGCGGAAGCGTGAGTATCTAACTTTATCGTCGGTCTTTGCGGCGTGCATGATAACTTCTTGTTCCGTACGGCTGAGGTGGACGCAGAACAGCAACTACAATTTCAGATTCAGGCGGTCAAGCCCAGATAGGCGAGGTCAGGAGGAGCGTTGTGCATCGCTGTGATGATGTCTCCTTCGTATGTGATAACTGTGTCCTCATGAAAGTATTTACAGATGTAGGCCTGCTTAACTCAAACATAGAGCGGTGTCACCAGTCTTCATTTGGATTACATATACGCTTTATATAGAGGATCCCAACATAATGCAATTAATACATTGAGCATTATTATTTGAAATATTCCGATGAAATAATCATTATTTTGCACTACTCGATGAAGGCCTTCCCACGATGTGTTGGCTCTGGGGGTTGTTTGACCATACCTCACCACGCTGGTCAATGCAGGTTTTTTTTTTAAGTGGGGGAAGGGAGGGGGGTATTGCCCTGGAATGGTTAAAACATCAGATCAAACTGCCGTCCAATTGTAATTCTTTCACGCAGGATGATGCATTTTACAGCCACCCTGCACGATGCAATGCGTGAGAGATAACGATGGACGGACCCCGCTGTCAAAACCGCTACCGGACGATGACCTTCGACGGGCCGCGTGGGTCGTTGGGGTTTTGTTGGACGACACTTCCCCGCACCCCGACACCTCGTGTCCCCTTTTGACAGGAGATGGAGTGAAGGTTAACGGCCGCTTTTGCTCACACGCGTGTCCGGGAGAAAGAAACCCCCCCCCCCTCCGCCGCGGATGAGCGCCAAATAAATTCCAAGCCGAGTTGAAAAACTGCTCAATTTGCACCTCCCTCCCTCTCTCTCTCCCCCTGTGTGTGTGTGTGTGTGCAATGGGGACCCTGGACACACTACCGCTCGGAGATGACGCTCCAACACTCAGACTCGTTTGTCACGATACGTTTACAGGTCACGCACGTGCATTTATTTGTGAAGATCTAACGACCGAGGTCTCTCTCCACCACGTAATCGTGCATCTTACTTGCCTTGTAATTAATTGGTCATTTTGGTCTTTCGTGTCCCAGAGAAACGCTGACGAAACCGTCCAGGTTATAGGCAGCACTCGATCGTGGCTTGTTTGAGTTAACACACATTTCACTCTCTTTAAAAAAAAAATACCAATTTGCTTTGGTGCTCGCACAGTTAACGATATACAATCTGCACACTTTTACTATGAAATAAGACACATGCGATGGGACAGGTGAGTGGATTGGGCATCAGAAATGGTAGTTTTGACAGGCAAGGAGGAAGGTAGGAGATGACTTATACGTGAGCATGATACAGCTTTGTTTATAGCTATGAAAGCAGATGGCTTATTGGATATGCTTAGTACGGTCTATTGTATAACTTAAAATAGTCATACATATGAGGTTAGCAGAGCTTATGTTACTATGCGAGAAGCAACAGACCATTATTGTTCTTCGTGCCATTAAAATTTTAGAAAAACATAGGTAAAAAAGCCATGCTAGGTTTTGATTGTTGAAATCATTTAAAGTTAGAGGTGATTTTCAACAATAAGATTTAGGTGTGAAACTGAAATCATTTAAAGTTAGAGGTGATTTTCAACAATAAGATTTAGGTGTGAAACTGCCACAAAAATGGGCCACCCTGGCAAATAATTACCCAGGGTGGTAAAATGCCAATTTGGCAGTATAACTCATCTTCAGCATTATTACCACATTAGAATCTGTGGCAGTTTCCTTTGGCTGAATTCCATCAAAATGCTGGGAAAATTACTTCCTCATTGGTGATGAAAACTGCCCTCACTCATTCGAGCATGTAGATCCTTTGCTGTGACTTTAATTTGGGATGAGTGATGTCTGTGTCAAATTACATAGTGTGCAGTTTCAAAATCTCAGACAGCACTCTTCCTGGAATCCGGACAATAAAAGTGCAGTTTCTTACATAAGGGCGCTCTTGAAAACCCTTTCCCTGATATGAAAGTGCATTCTTTGGTCCAACTTGCACAAAGAATATTCTGAATTAATTTTCTTCAGCCACTGCCAAGCAACACAGAATGGAAAAGTACACTTCTATTATATTCTTGGTTCTTTCGGTAAAGTCACGTACAGTGAGGGAAAAAAGTATTTGATCCCCTGCTGATTTTGTACGTTTGCCCACTGACAAAGAATGATCAGTCTATAATTTTAATGGTAGGTTTATTTGAACAGTGAGAGACAGAATAACAACAAAAAATCCAGAAAAACGCATGTCAAAAATGTTATTAATTGGTTTGCATTTTAATGAGGAAAATAAGTATTTGACCCCTCTGCAAAACATGACTTAGTACTTGGTGGCAAAACCCTTGTTGGCAATCACAGAGGTCAGACGTTTCTTGTAGTTGGCCACCAGGTTTGCACACATCTCAGGAGGGATTTTGTCCCACTCCTCTTTGCAGATCTTCTCCAAGTCATTAAGGTTTCGAGGGTGATGTTTGGCAACTCAAACCTTCAGCTCCCTCCACAGATTTTCTATGGGATTAAGGTCTGGAGACTGGCTAGGCTACTCCAGGACCTTAATGTGCTTCTTCTTGGGCCACTCCTTTGTTGCCTTGGCAGTGTGTTTTGGGTCATTGTCATGCTGGAATACCCATCCACGACCCATTTTCAATGCCCTGGCTGAGGGAAGGAGGTTCTCACCCAAGATTTGATGGTACATGGCTCCGTCCATCGTCCCTTTGATGCGGTGAAGTTGTCCTGTCCCCTTAGCAGAAAAACACCCCCAAAGCATAATGTTTCCACCTCCATGTTTGACGGTGGGGATGGTGTTCTTGGGGTCATAGGCAGCATTCCTCCTCCTCCAAACACGGCGAGTTGAGTTGATGCCAAAGAGCTCCATTTTGGTCTCATCTGACCACAACACTTTCACCCAGTTGTCCTCTGAATCATTCAGATGTTCATTGGCAAACTTCAGACGGGCATATATACGTGCTTTCTTGAGCAGGGGGACCTTGCAGGCGCTGCAGGATTTCAGTCCTTCACGGCGTAGTGTATTACCAATTGTTCTCTTGGTGACTATGGTCCCAGCTGCCTTGAGATCATTGACAAGATCCTCCCGTGTAGTTCTGGGCTGATTCCTCACCGTTCTCATGATCATTGCAACTCCAAGAGGTGACATCTTGCATGGAGCCCCAGACCGAGGGAGGTTGACAGTTCTTTTGTGTTTCTTCCATTTACGAATAATCGCACCAACTGTTGTCACCTTCTCACCAAGCTGCTTGGCAATGGTCTTGTAGCCCATTCCAGCCTTGTGTAGGTCTACAATCTTGTCCCTGACATCCTTGGAGAGCTCTTTGGTCTTGGCCATGGTGGAGAGTTTGGAATCTGATTGATTGATTGCTTCTGTGGACAGGTGTCTTTTATACAGGTAACAAGCTGAGATTAGGAGCACTCCCTTTAAGAGTGTGCTCCTAATCTCAGCTCGTTACCTGTATAAAAGACACCTGGGCGCCAGAAATCTTTCTGATTGAAAGGGGGTCAAATACTTATTTCCCTCATTAAAATGCAAATCAATTTATAAAAATTTTGACATGCGTTTTTCTGGATTTTTGTGTTGTTATTCTGTCTCTCACTGTTAAAATAAACCTACAATTAAAATTATAGACTAATCATTTTTTTGTCAGTGGGCAAACGTACAAAATCAGCAGGGGATCAAATACTTTTTTCCCTCACTGTAGAAGGGAAACAATAAAATAATAAAAATATAAAACAATACAATTATCACGACGTTTCGACTGCAACACAAGCAATCATCAGTTGTGAAAACCACAGCAAGAAAATTGAAAAAAGTGGCGTTTTTTTCTTCTTCAAATTTTCTTGCTGTGGGTTTCACGCCTGATGATGATTACTTGCGTTGCAGTCGAAACGTCGTGAGAATTTAATTGTTTTATATTTTTATTATTTTGTTTCCCTTCTACGTGGTGACTTTACCGAAAGAACCAAGAATATGAATCCCTGCAGTCACGAAAGCTTTAAATTAAAATTTACATTTCTATTGTATATAGGAAGAGGGACATTATGCTATCAATGCATCGATAGATGAAGGTAAGTGCAGGTGCGGTGTACAACACAAGCCATGGATTTGCTTCACCTCAACAGTTTTTCTGCACATCAGCGAAGCTGGAAAAGCCAGCATAGGTGATGAGCAGAACTACGCTCAGCGGAGCAAAGGCAAGTGCTGGGCTGGTGTTGTCTGCTTCTATAGCATGCAGAGAGTCATTTTACTTATAGGCAGAGACATTTTACAGACAGAGTCAGTCAAGCAAATGAGCAGCAGCAAAAGCAAATTGTACATCTGGGGGGGTTCCCTACGTCAGCACACTCTGGGACTCCGCAATGACCAACTCAAGTCCAAATATGTTCGACTCATTTTGAAACCATTAACATCATC